TATATATATATATATATATTCGAACTGTGTCACTCTGGGGAATATATATATATATATATATATATATATATATATATATATATGTATATATATATATGTATATATATATATATATATATATATATATATATATATATATATTATACCACACTGTAATCATAATATGCAGAGTCAGAATATCAGGAACAATAGTGACAATAATCATGATAAGAAAGAAGATATAACCAGTAAAAAAATTACTCTCTTAACGACCTCCCCAAACCACCGGGACCATGTACAAGGCGAGGGGCATATACAGCTTCTCCGTCACGTAATCGTCGCACCAGCTGTTCTCGAGGGACAGGTAGAACGTGTAGTTTCCGATGATGTTCGGCCAGCAATCCCGGCCACACCTCTGCCCGCAGCTGCCATACCTTAAGGAAAAGGGAGAGGAGTGTGTACTTTCTTGGGCCCAGATTCTCCAACGCGTTAAGGGGGCCCGTATCTCCTTGAGGCGCCTTAACTTACGAGCGATCTTACGGTCCGTACACAGAGCCAGGGACCCGCCATATTGGTGCGAGTGAAGGCGCCGTAGGTGAAGGCAAAAGGGAGAGCAGCCTTTAGCGCTTTCCGCGGGGAGGGAAACTAACACTCTTCGCTCTTGCAGAAGGGAAATACAGCAGGACGGTTAAGGCCTCCAGAGCGGCTTAACTGGAGGCTCCTTTGAGAATCCGGTCCCTGAGATATTCTTTGGGTGAAGGGGCTCTCAGGGATGTATCTGAAGCCTCCTGTGTACTTTAATACCCACCCTGTCAAGGACTCGAACCGTGTCACTCTTGGGAATACCGAACAAAGCAAATCAAAGCGCACAGTTCAAAAAAAAAAAAAAAAAAGTTTAAGATTAAGAAGAGAGTGAATCGGAATCACCAATCGATTCACACGTAAGGAATAGCGAGGTTTTAAGGGCAATTCCCGTGACCAGCTGGGGCGACGTGGTTCAGACACTCATGCATAATACCACATTACTTTTTCTCCCTAAATACATGTAATAATATTACCAGTGATAGCATATATATTTGTAAATATTTAATAACAACACTGGCAGTGATGACAACTAATCATGATGCTAATAATAGTGAGCATGATATAATTAATGATAATGATGATAATAATGATAATAACAAAGATAATGATAATAATAATAACGATAATAATAATGATAATGATAATAATAATGATAGTAATGATAATAATAATGATGATAATAATAATAATAATATTGATGATGATAATACTAATAGCAATCATAAAAAAACATAACAGTAACTAATAATAATAATAATAATAATAATAGCAATAATAATGACGATCTTCACTGCCGATAAATAACAATATGTTAATAATAATGGCAAAGTCACTCTAGATAAGGCAGCGATCATGATTCCAATAAGAACGATAAGGTAATGTCAGTCATAATAACAGTATCAGTGACAGTGGTAACAATGACGATGAAACTGACGCCATCACCATCACCATCAGAAACAATAACAAATGTAAATTATGAATGAGATAAGAATAACAATGATAGAGATGAGAAAGATAGTATAATGAATATGATCACCAAAATGACTAAATAACAATGATAGAGATGAGAAAGATAGTATAATGAATATGATCACCAAAATGACTAAATAACAATGATAGAGATGAGAAAGATAGTATAATGAATATGATCATAAAAATGACTAAAATAACAAGATTAACAATAGTTATAATGAGACTGATGTTCATGATTATGATGATAATATTAATAATAATGATAATAATAATAGTGATAATAATATAGTAATAATGATGACAATAATAGTAATAATGTTGATAATAATAATAATAATAGTAATAATAATAATAATGACAGAAATAATTACAATGACGATAATAATAACAATACAGATAATAATAATAACAACAAACAATAATGAGGATAAGAAAAATAATAATGAGAATATAAATAATAATGACAACCATGACAAACCATTATCATCAATATAGTTATTGTTATTACCAACATTATCATAAATATTATGATTTACATTATCATTATTACTATTATAATCATTACCAATGCTATTATTATAATCGTTATCTTTATATCATTGCTATTATTGTTGTTGTTATTATCATCAAGTTTATCTGATTTCTTTAATATTCCCAATCATCTTGTAATTACTACAACAATTCCGTGATCTGTGTTGTGAGTATACAGTCCTTGAACATTTTAATTACTGATAAAATTAATGCACGTTATAATGGCTATATTTGTTGCAAGAGCGGGAACACTGCCTTCAAAATCTTGCCTGTGGTTGAGTGTAGACTGTGGTAGTCGCCAAAGCACAAGGAAATGCGAGTATTATCTCAGGTCTTGGTGCTAAGATTGCAATAATACAATATGTACATATTTAGCATATATTTCTGCTTCGGAAGACGATCTTAAACTATCTTTCTCCAACGAAATGAACAA